AAACTCGAAAGCATAACAACTGAAGGTCTATGAAACGTCAGGGTTTTTTTAAACAATGGCACTTTAATTTTTTAACTCCAATTTGAGTGCAATCATATAGCCTATGAAGCAGCAGCAGGATTTCGCTTGCTCTTAAAGCCTTCCTCAAACATCTACATTCACAAATAAAACAATGATTTTTGCAAAAAGAATGATTATCAACTGAGAATTTGTTATTCATATGGTCTGGTGGTCATACGGCATATGCCTGCGAATATACGAGACAAACTGCGTTCCGTATAGCTTTCATACGGGACGCTTCTTTGATCCCTTAAATTCGGGATATAATGCTATAATGCGGAATGGTTGGCAGCCCTATCGCAGTCTGTACTCTGTGAATTGTAATTGTTTAAATGAATGTGTTATTTACATATTTACAAGTGTGGGGATTCTAGACTCAAGATAGGCATACAGGTATTTTGCTGGATCAGTGTTTGTGTTTTTGTGTGTTCATTTACATACAGGTTGTTGATGTGTTCATCTGTGCTCCTGGCTGCTGATTGGCTAGAACCAGATATCACAGTATTGATCAACTGTATAAATACATTCTGAAGCAGCTGTGAAAGAATCAGGCAGATTCACGAGTTCACACTACCATATAACTGGATTGAGCAATTTCTGTCCAGAGGGAGGGCTCCGAGCTATCCCTAAAATGGGATGAGAAATAGAACTAGATAAAAAAGTTAGTCAAGACAAACTTTAAGTTGGCTTGAGAAAGTCGGACCAGAAAGCTTGAAAAAGCTTGAAAAGTTTAAGAAGTTTAAAAAGTTTTAAGTTTGATGGTTTCCAGACTGAAACAGTTTGAAGTTTAAAGTAGTTTAAAAGCTTAAAGTTTGAATGTTTTGAAGCCAATACAGTCTGTCATAGATAGATAGATAGATAAAATCAGACGATAGATAGATAGATAGATAGATAGATAGATAGAAATAATCAGATGATAGATAGATAGATAGATAGATAGATGGATATAATCAGACTGAAGATAAATAGATAGATAGACAGATAGATAGATAGAAAGAAATAATCAGATAGATAGATAGATGATAGATAGATAGATAGATAGATAGATAGATAGATAGATAGATAGAAATAATCAGATGATAGATAGATAGATAGATAGATAGATAGATAGATAGATAGATAGATAGATAGATAGATAGATAGATAGATAGATAGATAGATAGAAATAATCAGATAGAGATTGGTGGAAGAGAGGTGTCTGGTCTGTTGTTCACCTGCTAGGGAAAGATGGTTATTTTATGGATCACAGTACTTTTTGTGAAAAATATAATATCCATTGTCATTACAAGCAATATAATAGCGTATTGAACTGTATTCCAAAGGCCTTTGTACTGTTGGTTAGAAATATGGTGCCCAACGTAACTGAAGCTCTTCATTTACCTTCTTTGATAATAAATGGGCAAGATTTTATTAGGAGTAGCCTGCCAAATATATTAATAAGGACTTTATTGACCCAAGATAAATGTCCAAATCAAGCTAGTCGAAATAACGTGAAATATCTTTTTTCCCAAGAGCTCTATTTTTAAATTAAGAAGACAGTTCATGTATCTCTCCTTTCCCATACCCCCCAAAGCCAAGGAAGTACATTTAACAGTTTTAATGATATCTACCCATCTTTAGAGTTTCTTAGATATAGATTTAATATTGATCACAATAATTGTACCTTTATATGTTGATATTGAAACGACTGTACATTTATTCTTTGACTGTTCATTCAGTAGAGCCTTTTGGTCTGATACATTTGAGTGGCTTAAAGTTTCAATGAAGCTGTCTTCTCAATTTTCTAAAAATAATATAATTTTTAGTCTAATAATGGAAGATGTACATACTCAAGATGCACTGAATAATTTTGGGTAATTTTTATATTCATAAATGTAAGTGCCTTAAAACAAAGCCATTGTTTTTTGTTTTTCAAAAGGAATTTTCGTATTGTGCTAGTTAAGGTGATTAACTATCGAGCTCCACCTGTGCCGAATTGATTGATTGATCGTGCTCCTCCTGAACCTTGTTAATGAAAACATTATTTCTGCTGACAGACCACAGGCAGTTCAGAAAGGTTTCTTGTTTTGGATTTGAAAAAACTGTTCCTTTGAGTAATTTTACTGGCTCTGGTTCAGTTTTACTTTACAAACCAAACAGAATTATTTTCATCAGTGTTTTGATCCATCAGGCCAGTGCTGCAGCAATGCATCAGTTCATTTCCATGATGTTTTCACTGCTAGTCATTACTGGACTGCAGGTGAGTGTTGAGTCCACAGGAACACGTTCTGAGCGAAGCATGGACAGAAGTTACAGATCAGAGCTGACTGTGCCGAATGGAGGGAGATGGGGGTCGTGGGGTCCGAGGGAAATGTGTCCAGCTGGAATGTATGCTGTAGCATTCCGTCTAAAGGTAAGCTAAGCACTGACTTAATTACAGTAGTATGGGGTTTGTTTAATGCTTGAAAGTGTAAGCTGGTGACTGAGGGTTGAAGGTTCAAACCCTTAGAAAAAATCAACTTTGGAGTTACTTTTAGTGATTCAGTTCCAGATTTTTCTAAGGAAACTGCACCTGCTCGAGTTTGACTGCTTTGATTCATACTAAAGAAACCAAGTTGAATGTTACTATGGATTGGGTTAGTCCAGGGATTCCCAGCTCTGTTCCTGAAGATATGCTAACAGTGAACGTTTGATTCAACCGAACACCTCTTTAGTAGACATCCAAAGTGTGTGATGTAGGTGGACCTCCAGGAACACTAGAGGTTTGGAGTTAAGATCACTCATCTCTTTCTAATACAGTGTCTTTAGTGTTGTTGTTGTTGTTGTTTAAGGTGGAATATCGTACTCTAGGGGATGACACCGCACTCAATGGGATTCGCCTATACTGCATTGATGTGTCTAAAGTCTCAAACTCTATTCGTGACTACGCCTCAGTTCAGTCAGATGTGGGCAGGTAATGGGCTAAAGCTTTTTTTTAAATAAGCTAGACAAATACATTTTCTTAAATGATTGGTTTGATCAAAGGCTTTTTTTTTTTTTTTTTTCTTCAGCCAGGGTCGGTGGACTGATATCAAATGGTGTCGTTCTGGATTGATGACTGCTTTTAAACTGAATGTCGAAAGGCCTCAAGGAGATGGTGACGATACGGCCGCAAACAACATCATGTGAGTTTGTGCTATGCTAAAAGTCCTTTTAATCTAATTTGGTGCTCTAAATGACTAGTCTTTTGCAAGTTGCTTGTAAATCACTTGTTATGCTTAACTATCATCACCTAATCTTACTGGAACTGATTGCAGGGCTCCAGACTGACTAAAATGGTTGCATTTGTGACTAAAAATATTAATACAGGAGTAATGTTTGCTGAGGTACTGTATAAATGTTATGGTTTAAATATGTGCATTTAATGCCTTTTTCTCTTGTTTTGCATTGTTTCGTTAATATTGATTGAAACCACATTTTTGTTATGTTGCACCCAATCTTCCAGGTTCCAATGCAGTCATGGGCCTTCTGTAGTGGGTGAAGGCACAAGCTGGGGCGACTGGGACTACTGGAGTAATACATGTGACGGAAAAGGGATTTGTGGTATCCAGACACGGGTAGAAGAGTCACAGGGACGAGGAGACGACACCGCTCTCAATGATGTGCGCATGTACTGCTGCGATTAAGGTGATGTGAACACAATCAAACACTTGGATCACAGCTGTTTGGATCTGTGATGTTAGTGCTGGCTTATCTGACTTTGGCTTTTCTTTCAGTTGTTAGAGGACGACAGTAAGAAGATCACAATTGATCAGCATACTGTTATGAGCTCACGTTGACCTATAAAAGCCAGTCACACAAAGCCTGAGATGTGATCAGGACCTCAACACAGAGCAGAGACTGACAGTACATCTCACTTGTGTCTTATCAGTTCATGCATTTCATTATCCTGGACTCCCATGAATTATGTCCCAATCTATTAAAATACCAATTTAACTTGAAATGACTGTTTGTCTGTTGATTTAATGTGCTTCGTTGATCTGATTGAAATCATTAATTGAAATTCTTTGCGCATTTTTTAAATTTATTTTTTGACAGAAATGCTTTGTGAACAGGCATATTTCCAGCCTATTAAAAAAAATATACTTGCATGTATTTGAAATACATTTTTTCATGCAAGTATACTATAAATAATGTACTAAAAATACCCTGCAATTGTATTTAGTATATTAAACTGGCGTACTTTAAAGTCTGCTAAATTAGAACTAGTTTGTACTTAATGCACTTTAATTGTGCAGAAGTATAGTGCTGAAGTCCAACTAAAGATCTACTGAAGTATATTTGTGCTAAAGTGGAACTATTGCAAGTATACTTCAGGTACTTTAAATATTTTGCATTTGAAAACTGATTCAAAGATCATATAATCGTCATCAAAAGTGATCTTAAAACGCATAGTCAGGTCTATATATATTTGGACACTGACACTATTTTCATAATTCTGGCTCTGTATGCCACCAGAATAGAATTAAAATGAGATGAAATTGAAGTGCAGACTTTAAGCTTTAATTCAAGGGGTTGAACAAAAATATAACACCAAATGCTTAGGAATTACAGCCATTTTTATAAACCGTCCCCCCCCATTTTCAGCGGCTCATATGTAATTGGACCTGCATCTAATGTTAATTTTTAATATTTTCTTGAATCCTTTGCCGGCAGTGACTTTAGTGTCTTAAGTCTGGAACTCATGGACATCAGCAGAGCTGGACTTTTTCACTGGAGGAAACGTTAGTATAGATTATGGACCAAACCTTTCTTAATGCTGGATTTGTTTCCGCTTTTGTCTTAAGACATTAACTGATGGACTGGAGTGATGTGGATTATTGTGATGTTGTTTGGACTCATTCTGATGGCACCCATTCACTGCAGTGCATCCATTGGTGAGCAAGTGATGGAATACTACATTAGGTTAATTTTTTTTTTATGAAGTATTAATTTAAAGGAATTTGCTTTACAGTATATTTGTCTTTAAAACCTCATGAAAGGTAATGTAAACTATCAAGCAAAGCGGTTTCAAAGGGTACATGCATTTGACCCGATCAGTCAGTGTTTTTCTAAAGCGTGTTATTTACATTTACTTTTGCATTATCTTGAAGGATTATATGGATAAACACTGATTCTTTCTTTCCTCATGCAAATTACTACGACTTCAAAAGTCAAGTTGTTTGAAAATATTTCTAGTTAAATTTGTCTCGTGCACCTCGTAAGAAAGAAAATCATACAGGTTTGAATGAAGGTGAGTAAATGATGATTTTAGCTGGTCTTTTCCTCGCAAATGTTGATACATGAAATGCAAATCTAAGTAAATTTGAGGCAGTTGTTTTTTTTGTCGAGTTTATATTCTCTGTTGCAAAACATGCTTAGTATTTTTCTCTGTACGCTCAAATTACAAAATCAAAGCAGTAACTCCGCATTTGATGGGAATTTAACCAAGTAAAACACTTTCCAAGGACACTAATGGTTTGTGTGTGCATTTACAGGACATTGACGTGTGCTTGAGGTGCCTTCAAGTCATGTCGGATAGATCGTATTTACGAGTTGAGTGCACATGAACGCCACCACAAAGTCGTTTTTATGAGTGGGAAACTCTAAATTTTCTTTAAGACCCGAGTTTCCGAGTTGGAGGTGTGTCAGTGAGAAAACGTGTTGGATGCAATGGAGCCAGCCAATGCATTCAAGTCCTCCTGGGATGTTCCTACTTACGACTTGACAAGTCGTAATAACGAGGTCGCCGTGATTTTGCCAAGTAAGACAAGAGTCCTGGATCAGCATAACTGTCCAAAAATATAGGCTTAACCCAATCCCTAACCCTAAACCTAACCCTACCCATAATTTATTCCTAAAAACAGTGTGCAATGATGCTTAACAAGGGTATAGAAGCACCTAACCCTGATTGTAAGCCTAAAACAGACATTTACTGAAAAGTTCTCAATTCTGATTGGTTGTTAGGAATGTTGTTCCAGGAACATGTTGTACTTGGTGAAATCATGGTGACCTAATAACGACGTCAGGTATGTTCAAGTCACTTTGGTCGAAACAAGATGGCGATTTAACTTTTCTATGTATAATTCAACAATTTTTTAAACTCTACATATACAAAATGATGAATAAAGAATGTGCATCATTGAGTTTTTGCTTTTTCTGTTATTCAATTTATGAAGGTGATGTAAGCTGACTCATTAGGCTATGTTCTATGGTAATTATAAAATAATATATTTTGTATATGTAACTTATATAGTTTTATTTTACATTACAAAAAAATATATATAATTTTATTAAAGGGGTAACATGATACGATTTCAATTGGTCCTTTCTCTTTGGAGTGTTACAAGCTCTTGGTGCATAAAGAAGATCTGTAAAGTTGCAAAGACTAAAGTCTCAAATCCAAAGAGATATTCTTTATAAAAGTTCAGAGTCAGCCACGCCTACCTAAAACGCCTCGTTTAAACACGCCCCCACATGTCTACATCACTATGTGGGAAGATTTGCATAACGCCCGGATCGGCTTTCAACGTGGACGAAGCGGAGTCCAGCCCGGGGTCCAGCTCACTCAAGCTTACTTTAGGCCGCGGTGTTGTGAAAGCAAAACTACTTTGTTTGGTCTTCCAAATGAGGACGATATCTGCTTCGTCATGCCTGGAGCTGATCCGTGCTGGTCGCTGAGGAAATACATCAGATCGGATCGGCTTTCAACGTGGACGAAGCGGAGTCCAGCCCGGGGTCCAGCTCACTCAAGCTTACTTTAGGCCGCGGTGTTGTGAAAGCAAAACTACTTTGTTTGGTCTTCCAAAAGAGGACACGACTAGAAGTCAGTGGTTAAGTTGTATTTACAACACTGTAACACAAATATTCAGATGTGTGCAGCTGCCACTGACGATTCAAACTCGAGTTTTGAGCAGTGTAGAGTAGCGCTTGTTGTTTGTCATTTCTCCGATCACAAATGCAGACAGAGTTTTATGTTTATGTGGCGTGATGCAACGCAACGCGTAAAAAGACAGTATATCAATATACTATAAGTATTTAATATAAGTCATTATAATCCGTAATTATGTCCCCACTGGATGCAACAAATGCCTCGTTTATAATGGGTTTTAATGTTTTTGTCTCGTCGCGCCGGCCGGGACACGGCAGCACATTATGGTGAGGGGCGTAACATTTCCGTCACACGCTTGAGGTATTCGGCCAATCACAACACACTGGATAGCTGGCCAATCACAGCACACCTCGCTTTTCAGACCGATGAGCTTTATAAAAATTGACGCGTTTCAGAAAGGCGGGGCATAGAGGAGAAACAATAATGTACAGTATGTGGAAAATAATGTTTTTTTTACCGTAAACCACAAACATTTCATTACACCAAATACACAACATAATGTTCTTTTTAGCATCATATGACCCCTATAATTTCAACAAATTTACTGTCAATGCTGACGCTACATAACTTTTTTGGCTCTTAAACATCTGGAGGGAGAATATGGAGACAACAATTCAGATAGATAAATAGGGGTTAGATCATGTAACGATTTATACTACAGCCCCATTGACTCCCTCTGCCAATGCATTGATGAAATTAACAGTTGGATGTGCGAGAACGTTCTTCAGTTAAACAAAGAAAAAACCGAAGTCATTGCATTTGGAAACAAAGATGAAGTTCTCAAGGTGAATGCATACCTTGACTCTAGGGGTCTAACAACTAAAAATCAAGTCAGGAATCTTGGTGCGATTCTGGAGACAGAGCTTAGTTTCAGTAGTCATGTCAAAGCTGTAACTAAATCAGCATACTATCATCTCAAAAACATTGCAAGAATTAGAGGTTTTGTTTCCAGTCAAGACTTGGAGAAACTTGTTCATGCCTTTATCACCAGCAGGGTGGACTATTGTAATGGTCTCCTCACCGGCCTTCACAAGAAGACCATTAGACAGCTGCAGCTCAGCCAGAACGCTGCTGCCAGAATTCTGACTAGAACCAGAAAATCTGAGCATATCACACCAGTCCTCAGGTCCTTACACTGGCTTCCAGTTACATTTAGGATTGATTTTAAAGTACTTTTACTCGTTTATAAATCACTCAATGGCCTAGGACCTAAATATATAGCAGATATGCTCACTGAATATAAACCGAACAGACCACTCAGATCATTAGGATCGAGTCAGTTAGAAATACAGAGGGTTCACACAAAACAAGGGGAATGTGCTTTTAGTTATTATGCCACCCGCAGTTGGAATCAGCTTCCAGAAGAGATCAGATGTGCTAAAACATTAGTCACATTTAAATGCAGACTCAAAACTCATCTGTTTAGCTGTGCATTTATTGAATGAGCACTGTGCGATGTCCGAACTGATTGCACTATATTATATGTATAATCGTCTTCTTAAATTAATTTTAAACCTCTTAAATCAATTTTTTAAATCATTTTCAAAGTTTTTAAATTCCTTGTTTTATTGTTGTGATTATTTTTTTCTTTTCTTTTATGTAAAGCACTTTGAATTACCATTGTGTATGAAATGTGCTATACAAATAAACTTGCCTTGCCTTGCCTTGCCTAGAGCTGTTTTGGACTTTTTCACTGGAGTAAGTGTAATTATGGATTATGGATATTTTAGTTAAAAATGTCTTAATGATGGATTTGTTTCGCTCTTCTTCTCAAGATGTTAATTGATGGACTGGAGTGCTGTGGATTACTTGTGGGTTATTGTGATGTTTTAGCTGTTTAGACAACATTTAAAAACTCCTTTCAAATGGCATTGCGTGGACCTTTTGGAAAATTTTTATTGAATGCAATTTTTATTTTGATATTTAGTGGGTTCACAGAAATAATTTAATTATATATTGTAAGGACTCCTCTCATGCTTTGATGCTTGAATTAAAGCATTAAATGTGCCTGTTCTTCACAAAGCATTTCTTCATTTTTTGATTAGTCAATCATGAAAGCTAAAAAAAATGAATGAATGAGATGCAAAGAAATATTCAATTGTTAATGATTTCAATCAGGTCAACGAAGAAGCACATTAATCAACAGACAAACACTAATGTCATTTCAAGCTAAATTAATATTTTAATAGATACAGCTTTACAGTTAATGTAGATTATGGAGTTCATGGATTTGAAATGCATGAACTGATAAGACACAATAAGTGAGATGTACTGTCAGTCTTTGCTCTGTGTTGAGGTCCTGATCACATCTCAGGCTTTATTTTTTGACTAGCTGTTGTATGACATGGTTAATGTGAGCTCATAACAGTATGCTGATCAATTATGATCCATCTGATCTTCTTGGTCTTCTTGTTGTCGTCCTCTAACACCTGAAAGAAAAGCCAAACTCAGATAAGCCAGCACTAACATCACAGAGATCTTCCAAACAGCTGTGATCCGAGTGTTTGATTGCGTTCACATCACCTTAATCGCAGCAGAACATGCGCACGTCATTGAGAGCGGTGTCGTCTCCTCGTCCTTGTGGCTCTTCTATCTGCGTCTTGATACCACAAATCGCTTTTCCTTCACATGTATTACTCCAATCGCCCCAATCACCCCAGCGTGTGCCGTCACCCTGCAGTAAAGGCCCTCCACTGCATTTTAACCTGGAAGAAGTTTGGGTGTAAAAACATGATAAAATGTTGTTTCAATCAGTACCAACAAAACAAACTCTTGGAACTTGCCATTTGACTTGCACCTAAAAAAAAAATTTAGGTGCCACAGAATAAATTTTCTCTTTTTATAATTTAACACTTTAACATTAGTCATACATGTGTTGGTCTCATCTTTTCATGCGTTTATCAGCATTTTAATCCATCTTGTACTTTAGATGTCATGGGAACTAAGGTTCACTTAAAGTGGGAGCTAGGCACGCGACGCTATCAGATTTTCCTGTTGCAATAATTGCTAAAGCTTTATCACGGTATACAGTATTATCACAGTACCACCAATGCCACAACCAGATCTGCTTTTAGCAAGTGCACCGTTAGCGCTGGTCGTTTTCTCACCAAAACTTTGATGTGCATTGTCTCAAATTATGTGATCGTAAAAAAAGCAGGAAAAAAAGGCATTACATGCACATTTTTAAACATGTACATTTATATAGTTGCCAGTGGTGACTTCAGCAAAAATATTACTCACGAATTAATATTTTTAGTTGCAGTCTGGAGCCCTGCAATCAGTTCCAGTAAGATTTGGTGATGATAGTTAAGCATAATGAGTGATTTACTAGCAATTTGTAAAAGACCAGTCATTTTAGAGCACCACATTTTTAGCACATCACAAACTCACATGATGTTGTTTGCGGCCGTGTCGTCACCATCTCCTTGAGATTTCTCGACTCTCAGCTGAAAAGCAGTCAAGAATCCAGAAGGACACCATTTGATATCAGTCCACCGACCCCAGCTGAAGAAAAAACACAGTTTTATTGATCAAACCAATCATTATTTTTAAGAAAATTTATTTGTCTAGCTTATGAAAAAACTGCCTCGTACTCTTAATGTAACAATTCTTAATAACTGCAAACCTGCTACATTATTACTCTTTAGACTCTTTAGCCCATTACCTGCCTACATCTGACTGAACTGAGGCGTAGCTGTGATACGAGTTTGATGAGCCTTTAGACGGATCAACACAGTGAAGACGAATCCCGTTGAGTGCAGTGTCATCTCCTTGAATAGGATCTTCCACCTTAAAAACAAAACAAAACAAGAAAACACTAAGACATAAGAAAGAGAAAAGGAGTAATCTTAACTCCAAACCTGTAGTGTTCCTGGAAGTACACCATCACACATTTTGGATGTCTACTAAAGATGTGTTCAGTTGAATCAAAAACGTTCACTGTTGGTGTATCTTCAGAAACAGGGCTGGGAATCCCTGGACTAACCTTCACATTTCTTTAGTATTAAGCAAAGCAGTCAAACTCGAGCAGGTGCAGTTTCCTTAGAAATACCTGGAACTGAATCAGTAAACGCAATTCCAGAGTTGATTTTTTCTAAGGGTTTGAACCTTCAACCCTCAGTCACCGGCTTACACTTTCAAGCATTAAACAAACCCCATACTACTGTAATTAAGTCAATTCTTAGCTTACCTTTAGACTGAACCCTGCGGTGTATGTTCCAGTTGGACACATTTCCCTCGGACCCCACGACCCCCATCTCCCTCCATTCGGCACAGCCAGCTCTGATCTGTAATGTCTGTCGATGCTTCGCTCAGAACGTATTCTTGCGGACTCAACACTCACCTGCAGCCCAGTAATGACTAGCAGTGAAAACATCATGGAAATGAACTGATGCATTGCTGCAGCACTGGCCTGATGGATTAAAATACTGATTTAATTCTGTTTGGTTTGTAAAGTAAAACTGAACCAGAGCCAGTAAGACTGCTCTAAGGAACAATTTCTTCAAATCCAGAACAAGAAACCTTTCTGAACTCTCTGTGGCCTGTCAGCAGAATCTGCCTGATTCTTTCACAGCTGGTTCAGAATGCATTTATACAGTTTATCAATACTGTGATATCTGGTTCTAGCCAATCAGCAGCCAGGAGCACAGATGAACACATCAACAACCTGTATGTAAATGAACACACAAAAACACAAACACTGATTCAGCAAAATCTCTGTATGCTTATCTTGAGTCTAGAGTCCCCACACTTGTAAATAACATACTGTGTCTGTACATTCATTTAAACAATTACAATTCGCAGAGTACAGCCTGTGATAGGGCTGCCAACCATTCCGCATTATATAGAAATGTCCCGAATTTAAGGGATCAAAGAAGCGTCCCGTACGAAAGCTATATGGAATGCAGTTTGTCTCGTATATTCGCAGGCATACGCCATATGACCACCAGACCATATGAATAACAAATTCTCAGTTGATAATTAATCATTCTTTTTGCAAAAATCATAGTTTTATTTGTGAATGTAGATGTTTGAGGAAGGCTTTAAGAGCAAGCGAAATCCTCTGCCGTCTGCTGCCGCTTCATAGGCTATATGATTGCACAAAAAGTTGAGTTAAAACATTAAAGTGCCATTGTTTAAAAAAACCCTGACGTTTCATAGACCTTCAGTTGTTATGCTTTCGAGTTT